GTGAGTTAGTGGACATTGCAATTATTTTAATAGACAATAAAAAACCATTCAACCCGAGCACTTGGGCATCCTTTGTTCAAAACAAGTTTTATGATAAAACACTGTTTTTATGAAAAAACATCCCGATCAAGGAAAAAGGTGTCTTAGTAAGTGTTATAATGCTGAACTGAATTGGCCTAAAATAACAGCATCTCTAGAAAACATTAAAAAGACCTTAAAGTAAAGGTACGTGAGTAAGCTGACATTGCAAAGATTTCGATGGACAGTAAAGAAACAATTTTTCCTAAAAACATGGGCATATAAAAGCTTTGTTTACGTTTGCTCATAATTAACCAAAAAACTAACGCTGTTAAAACATAAAGCAATAAATGAAACATGGATTCACCACTAGACACCGGAATCAAAAACATCTTCAGTTGAATGGAGTCGTTCAAAGCAACCAAAACCGCACTTTAATAAAGGTAAAACCATCAATAGTCAATACTACTATAGTTATTGGGGTAAACGAACGGTAAAACTAGGAAGAAACGTTCTCAACAAGAAAAATAAAAAAAATGCACTTGTGACATAGTCGATGGCTACAATACCAAAAATGTACAAAATAAATTGCTACTGTTTACGCCATATTTGCCAGATTTGGTCACGAGCCACTAAAAAACTAGTGAACTGCAACAACCTCAAAAGTACTTAACATATAAATATAAAAATTATATTCACTTTTTAATGTACCTATCTTAGTTTATTCAGTTCATTCAATATTATGTCAATTTTTGTTAATCATAAATAAATAACTAATATGTAATAACGTTTTTCCTAGCATTTATGTAATACATAGATTACAAAAGTAGCACCTTATTTAGCAGAGGATTTTTAAATAAATGCTCTGGGTCTTAAAAATAATTATATTATGTATTTTGTATTGAAGTAGACCATGTAAATGGAAAAGCAGCGGCGGTGTGACTTTAATAAATTTTACGTCTATTGCCCGGGCTTGATAAAATAGAATCGGCCGGGCTCGGGCCGGCTATAGTGACTGATTTTCGGACCCGGGCTGGACAAGGACTTAAAAATTCAGCCTGTGCACTGCACTTTAACCTTAGAGACCTGCACAGTGTGCAGGTCTCTAAGGTTAAAGTGACAAATATACATAAAACTGAATTAAAAGAGTTTCCTTATCACTACAAATACATTAATTAATTTTTATAACTATCGTTATATTTTATAAAAAATAAAATAAATTGTATCCATCAAAATATTAATCGAAAATTTATAGTGTATTTTCTATAAAAAATAAGGAGTCCCATTAACGCATATAAATTTTAATTAAAATAATTGAAGATTGAAATCTTAATTGAAAAAATGATTAACATGTATACTTTACTTCCGGCGCTATGATTCTTTTGTTTCGGTTTTATAAATTGCTTAATAAATTTTTAATCTCGCCCGGCATCTACACCTATGCATTTAGGAGTATTGCAGCGGTGTCACTACCACTCCGGCCTGCTAATTGGGGAAAAATTAAATGACCTGTTTGTACGGTTTATCTCAGGTAGCCAACGAGCCGCGTAATCGAAAAGGTTATTTAGATCTATAGAAACAATAGTTTATATGAGCCGTTTAGATGCAAAACCCACTTTTTGCAAAAATAAAAAAGAGATATATACGTAAAGGGTGTTGTTTAAAGAATAATAGAATTTCTGATCGTAATTTCTTTGGAATCATCCGTCATTTTGCGCGCTATTAGTGACATTTATATTTAGTATAGAGTGGCAATCAAATAGACTCACGCTTGAACAACGTTATCAAATTATCAAAATTTACTTTAAAAGTCATTCCTCAATTTGCGAAACACATAGACGACTTCGTGAATTTTACGGTGCACATAATCGTCCATCTGAGCAAGCCATCCGTTGCACTGTGGATAGATTTAGAACCACACTCTCTCTAAAGGATGCAAAAATAGCATAACGTCAAAGGAATGTGCGTACTGAAGAAAATATTGCTGCGGTAAACGAAAGTGTGCAAGAAAATTAGAAAATAATCGATTTGCCGTCCATCTCAGCAGTTGGGGCTTTGTCCGTCCACAAGACCATCGTTTGCTTCGTTCTTTCATTGATTGGGCTTTAGAGCAGTTGCAAGCTGACCCATTGTTTTATCGCAACATTGTGTTTTATCGCAAAATTGTGTTCAACGATGAGGCACATTTTTGGCTCAATAGGTTTTTTAATTAGCAGAATTGCCGGATATGGAATGTGCAAATCCAGAAGAGATCCTACATACCCCATTGCATTCAGAAAAATGTACAGTTTGGACCTTATTTCTTTAAAAATGAGGCTAGAGTTAACGTAACGGTCAATGGGGAACGATACCGGATTAACGAATATTTCTTTCAAAATATGGATGGCACTGATCCGGACGAGATGTGGATGCAGCAGGATGGCGCTACGTGCCATACGGCGAACGAAACTATTGAATTATTGCAAATCAGATTTGGTGATAAATTAATTTCAAGAAATGGACCTGTCAACTGGCCACCCAGGTCTTGCGATTTGACGCCTCTCGATTATTTTTTATGGGGCTACGTGAAGTCATTGGTTTATGCTTATAATCCAGCAACACTGGAAGCCTTGGAAGCTAACATTTTTCGTGTGATTCAAGAGATACGGCCACCATTGCTCGAAAGAGTAATCCAAAATTGGACTGACAGAATGCGATTCGTCAGGAACAGCCGTGGTGGCCATATGCCTCAAATCATTTTAAAATATTAATGACATGTGTTGATCTTTCAAATAAAAAGAGATTTTTTATTAAAAGTTAATTATTGTGGATTTTATTCAAGTTTAAAGTTCTATCTATTCTTAAAAAAAAACACCCTTTATATGGATTTTTAAAAGTAATCCATTGAACCTATTAGTTTGTAGCATACGTTACTGTATAATATAGTAAAACTGAAATAAAAATACAGTAGGTGCAAACCCCACTCTTTACTTCTGATAGTTGGATGCAAAAGTCACTGTTTAGTTTTGTACCGTTGAGTAAAGACTTTTCAATCAAAGCTTGAACCCTTAAGACCCTATTTTAAGGTGATGAATAAAAGTAAACTATAACTATTAACAACATTTTTAGCGCAAAATTGTATTATTTTAAAATTTAAATAAAAAAAATTGTGTAGATGCCGGGTATCAATCCTGGTACCTCTGGCATGCCAAGCGAGAATATTACCATCTAGATACACCTGTCATTTCATGCATCGATGACACAAAATTTAAAAAAAAATAGTCTATATTGTCCATTTGAACCCTTAATTATATTGTAAATATTTTAGTATCCGGACCGTTTCTTTCAACACAGCGAAATTTCCCATCATTTGCAAACATACCTGGGTTTATTACAAAAATATAATAGACTTTATTATTTTTTGGATTTTTGCCTCGTTCTAAATATTTTATACCTACCCCCTACCCCGACCAACGGTGGAAGATCTGGGAGCTCTCATCGAGCACTACATCCTAATTCTGCGTCTTTAATACATCGGCTCCGGCTAACTACACGCTACAACACACTACAAGTTCGTGTGTATAAATGTGTACATAATAAAGTTAAGTTATACCTAATCAATCAATTCGCTTACATGCACAGTCGCTAAAAATGTTTTGCTAATGAATGAATGAATCATTAAAAACTACTAATATATTTATTCTATTTAATAAAACATAATTATAACAGTATTTGGTATAAACGCCAGTAGAAAAATAATTACGCGAAAAACATTTTAATATTTTAATTAAGAGTCTTGCACCACCATCGCAGATACCGATCGCCTGAACTAAATTAATGGTATTTATAATAATTCCGCAATTAATAATCGAGATAGGGATCTACATATTGTGTACATGATGTGGTCGTTTGTACAAATGGAACTGGCGCTGGGCTGCATTGGCTCGCGATGGAGTTAAAAAAATATACCAACGATTTTATTCAATTTTTACCAACCAACAATCTTAATCAAAGCAATATAATTCAGAAAAAAATGTTTCTTTTCTTATTTTTGTTTAACGTACTAAAATTAATTACTCCGGCTTAAACGTTGTTGACTTTGGAAGAAGAACGATTAGCACCGAAGTTGCGTTTTGATTTTTATCTAGACACCTGCTTCTTGAACGAAAACTAACTGCCGGTGATATCAGCTGTCCAAAATAATTCGCGAAATAACAACCAAATTAATTGGCAAGTGTAAGCTTAACGATACGAACCATCTTCTTGCAATTTAGGTAACGCGTGCATGCCTTAAAATCTATTCAAATTTATTTTCGTTTCTGCTTCATCATCGTCGTCGTCATAATCAGACCGTGGGAGGAGTATTGTTGAAACACGGCCCAGCCAAGCCACGACCGCACAACTCCGTATTATCATACGCACCGTGGCCGCTAAATGCAATTATTATTTATTCTATTTGTAACCAATAAGGTTCAGGCATTGTAGTCTCGACCTTCGAATGCAATTCTACTATTGTGCCGCTCGAATCACCGGACAAACTGTTTTGCATCGTGCCAATACATATAACGTAAACTATACCTAGTCATGTTATAAATTATGGCCCTATTTAAATGCATATATTTATTAGATATGGGTTCCTTTCATTCAGGATATTGTTGCTATGCTTGCCAAATCTAATACGTGGTAACATATATTTCAGCATTAACTGGACATGGTTATTAAGGTATACCTTAGAAATGTATACATTTCTTTAATCCATGTAATTGTTTTGTATATATATATACCTACATATATATAGTTTATGTTGGGACACAATCTTCAATGTATGGATACTAAGATCATTTAAAACGTATATCTAGAAATAAAACTATACCTATATATAATTTTTCCCGCCATTTCAATTCAAAAAAGACTTATAGTACATCAAAAACCTCCAAACAAAATATAATGACATAACACATAACAAAATACAAAACGAATAAAATGAAAAAAACTGTACTCACCATCGGTATGGAGGCGCCGTCGTCCTGGTCGGCCCCCTGCGGACAAAACACAACGCTAAACAAAAGAACAACGTGTATAAATTAGCGACCGCGCCGGTTGATAACATCTCCGTCTGTCCGTACGTTCGTTTCGAACTGATTACGATTGCAATTTGTCCGCGGACATGTCCATAAGTAATATAATAGGCATACGCAATTTAGGATTGTGTGCGTAATTTAAGAAAACGGCGCAGTCGCTGATTTTATTGGTGAATTAAGATAAATAAGTAAACAATTACATTAATAAGATTTAAACAATTACAAAATTAAAGACGTAATATCATCTCAAGCAAAATAAAGTTAAAGAGCCCTTTAAAAATTTGTCATGATATTAATATGTTTATTAGATCTGGGTTTTGGGAGGGATATTTTTTAACCAATAAAGACACACCACGAAAAAAATTAAAACAGACTATACATTTTAGAAGATTCGAAGGATTTTGACGTGCTAAATCCGATCCGACTTTTATTTAAATAAATCGTTAGTGGAAATTAATGAGCTTGGTATTCAAAATTTGAGCAGCACTCATTTCTTAGAGAGGAGAAAAGATATTGGAGAAATTTGAAAAGGAAGAATAGTACTGATGGCATACCGCGTATTTTGCAAATCATTAAATCGTCAGTTAATACTTAAAATATCACAAAAATATATTGGCAATTTGAGATTTTGCTGTGCCAGTATTGGATATGAAGTAAAATCTTATTGCATTGCATTTGAAATATATCTGGAGGACAAGTATGACAAATATTTGGTACCGTTCCTTAACATGGAAAGAATTTACCACTTATTATTACTTTTGAAAAAAAATTACGCCTCAAAAACTAACATGAAAAAAGTTGCTTTAAAATTTTAAAATTGAAGCAGGCCTTTAAAAGTTAAGATGTGACGTATTTCATGGACGACCCAAAAAGATAAATCAACTTTCTTCAAAACTTTATGTCGAATGGGAGTAATTTTATCAATGATTGGAATGCACTGAATACCATAATGGTAAAAATCAAGATAACAGCTACTGAATTTATTCACTTTTAGTTTATTTTACTACACTGAGGGCCTGTTTATAAATCTTTGGTTAAGTTCCAGTTAGTCTATCTGACAGTTAAATTCCATATCGATCGTTGTGAGAACAATGGTATCCATGGAAATTATCTAACAGATAACTAACTGCAACTTTAACTGGGTATTGATAAACCCGCCCTGACACGAGTCCGTCCTCCCTCAATTAAATTAGATAATAGTAAAATAAGATCTTCGTTATTTTAATATACTAAAAGTATACTATGCCATTTGCAACACTATGTTATTTAGGTTTAATCATTCCACTATTTGTATCCTTATAAGATTAGACTCCAAATCTCACTTCAAAATTTGATATACAGATTTGTGCATAGAAAAACTAGTAATGTTTTATAAATTGACTGACTTGGTTTAAAAATAATTTATGTGCGCCGTCTCATCACACAAGTTTTTACTTGGGGGTATCGTTACTCTTGAAGTGAGCTCGATTAAAAAGTTTTGTTATTGCATGTATCTCATGAATACAAATACATAAATTTATAAAAATAAAAAATATAATCACATCTATAAATAAAAACTGATGCTGCCACTAAATATAGTCCCGTTGTCGGGCGCGTCAAAATTTTGGCGCACGCTGCACCGCACATAACCGCACATAAATAATTCGAGGATTTCTGGTCACGAATTTATCAAATTGACGTGATTAGTCAAAACGTCGTCGCGACGGCATCAACGACGTTTCAACGGAACCAACAGCATCGAACACCTGTTTCGATGCTGCGACGACAACGCTCGTAATAAATGTTGCTGGTCGCGGTCTGTCGTCGTAAATTATTTCGAAAAATAAATACCGATGGTAGAGATAATACTATTGTCCGACTTGAGAGATACGCCCACGCGTTGCCCGGCTCGCGAAAATCGTAAAACAAAGGAAATTTAGTGCGTCGTTAACCGGTTAAACCCTGGTCTACCTGACCAGGAAGATTTATTTTGGTACCAGTTCCAAAGATTTCATTAGTCTAAAAGGTTTTTGCCCTTAAGAATATTGCTGTTTATTTTTTAGCATAAGTATATATCAGCAGTTTTAAATTCACCTGCAAGGTAAAAATTAATGTCCCAGGAAATATGGTATTAGGTTGTATATCAGAATGAAGTTCCACTCTCAATTAAAAGCTTACGGAACGAAGGTCGATGAGACCCAATAAACATGTTAAAGTTGGAAGTCAAATAATTCTGACCAGTACACAACAATGTTGCATGATTTTTTATTTCCTGAATTGGCCACCCGAGGGAATCAATTCAGGACGTAATACATGGGGCATAGAAAATAAAATGTGCATTTTAATATAATTTAAAATACTTAAGATGTTTTAAACTAAATATTTCCAAAAACGATGAGCTGAATGGCTGAAAAACAGTATATACAGCAAAAAATATAAAACTAGTAGACAAAATCAGGCCAACGTTAACGTTGGCGACTAGAATCAGTGGTTATTGGCCAATGATGTCGATTAAATATAACGATAACCACTAATTCTAGTGGCTAACGTTAACGACTTATGTTAGTAAATTGGCCCGAATAACTCCACGGAGATTAAACAGTAACCACAATACAATTTCTAATAAAACATTCCGGGTTACTTTTACAACCGCAATAGTTAGTTTTATAACATAAATGAGTAGTGTATGGAACTGTAGTGATCAACATTCTGCATATTAATTATTATTTTGAATTGAAAATAAGTGGATTACTCTAATGCGCATCAATGATTACTGTTTTACTTTCTTATTGATAGGAGTTAATACGAAAGAAAACCAATTCTCCCAAAGACTTTTTAGTTATAAAATTATCACATAGGTAGTTCATAAGAAATTTAATATCCTGTAATTTAGATTTTATTTAGAAAAGTATGAGTATAAGGAACGTATGATAGGCCCCATCGGCAACGCTTAACACTGATCCCCCAGGGTTATTTTACCCCCTTTCAGTTCTCTTACGTATCCCGCCACTTCACAGCCTAACCTGTGTTTGGTGGATCCGAATTTTCACCCCGGTTGGTAAATCTCGACTAGAAGGTCGTGGATGACAGTGTCGATGATTAAGGCCACTCCCGGAATTTTGTCGCCGGGCCGGGCCATAAGCCCGATTTAGGCTAGTGGAGTTCGGGACAAGGAAGGAAAACATTTTGGTTAACATTGGACTGACCTAAAACTAAGTACAATCCGAAATTCCCTTCAACCAGGGATTAAGTAATGCCCCCATTCATTTGAGGTTCATGAATGAGGTTTGGTTGGTTAGTGAGCTGTTAGGACCTATCCTTGCTGGTCTTGTAGTCTGCTAAAATTCGGAAACTGTTGTGGGGAATTATTTGCCCCACTGTGCGAAAGCCGTTTCTTCAGTGTAAAGGTCGGGAACTATCGATAGATAGATAGTTGTTTTCCTTTGGTGGTGGAAATTGTATTTACGTTTTCTTTTCTTTTTTAACAATTAGAAGTTTCATATATTTGTTGTTTTTATTTTTAATTCTCTTATATTTATGTTCATGTTGGCATGGCAAATATTGAAACTGGTTGTTTATTTTAGTTTCGTTCGTTAAGTTTTAAACTTTTTAATTTTGTTGGAGCTTGCCTCTCAAGTTTTTGCTTATTTATGTTTTGAGACGTTTATTTACACTTTTACGCTGTTTTCAGTAAGAATGATTGATTATTGTAAGGTTTTTGTGGCAAATTTGCGTCTTAGGTCATGCAATTAATTAGTATTTATCAGAATTTTTCATATGATGGCCCCTTCCTCATAAGGTGATTCATATTGGTCTGGGGTTAGATCTCCAGGTATGCTGTTACTTATCTTAGATTTTATTTAGAATTAATATTAAATTAAATGTTCTTTTTGTAGACCAATTTCAGACAGATAATTGCCATTAAAAAAATACGCAACGACTAAACCGAGAAAATTCATTACAATAAACCATCACCAGAAGCTGAAAAGTTTTAAGTTACCCCGCTTCTTATTCACGTCTCTTTTTCTTTCAGAAGATCGCGTGCACAATAAACAACAAGATAACTCGAATTATGACTGTTGTGACATCGGACAGCAATACGATACGCGTAAATCATCGGCTGCGATTTTTTATTTCGCAGCGTACGTACGTAACTCAGAGTTGCTGATAGAATCTGTTGGCCGTATGCATATTAATAGCGTATCTTTAATTTGTTATTTGTTTCGTGTTCTTCGCAGCAACTGCGTCGAGTTATTGATAACCCAAACACACCAATACTTTTCTTAAACAAAAATGTTCTAAATATTTATTAAAGATATAAATTTTTACATTAAGTATTATTTTTAGTAACTTGTTTAACAGATACTTATTAAAATAAATAAAATAATTTCCTTAAAAAGCTAATTTTAAGTTATCATCAATAAGGTTATTTTACCAGTAAAAGGTTATTCCACGCTTTTTATTATCATCATAATAACTTCTACAACTCAACGCAGAATCGTTAATAATTTATTTTACAATAAATACTGGGTTGCCTCATAATAATCCACAAATATTGTATGAAAAATTCAATTCTTATTTATACAGAGTATAATAAAAAAAAATGTCATCCTAAATAAAACTTACGAACGATTAATTAGATTTGGATGAACATTACATAACCTGTCAATAAATAAATGTTCTTTGTAGTAAAATCATAAAAAATCTAAATTGTTGCCATTTTTAATAAAAAAACAAAACAAAAAAAATTACATTAAACTTTGTTCTGCACACATAATTTGCTTTTTTTTCAACACTAAAATTACATACCTTTCAGAAGCTCGATGTGAAAAAAATGTGATCTGTATTGGGTAAAACAAAAATTCATTTTTTTTTAGCGAAATGCACTGCTATAACATTTTTTTCTCTAATTCGATTCGATTAGTTTTTGAAGTGTTTTTTCTGCTGTTAATTATTTTAGTTTTGGAGCATCCCATTAG